AGAACTCGGCCTTGAGTCGGACCCAAGTCCTGATTTCCTGGACTTGTGACTCAGCTTGGATTGTGAGTTAATTACTCAAGGGATGACTGCATTTTGACTCAGAAGTTGGAGACTCAGTTTTATGTATTCGGCCCAGATAATATGGCATAAAATATTGACAACTATATTACTCCTGTGACATTATTCAATTTCATGCAAGGGCAGACAGAAGTCGGAGTTAAACTCAAACCCATAACCATGCCATTGTCTGGATTTTGACCATTCCATTAGCGTTGTATTAGCATACAAGTTGTTGGGTTATAGGCTAGGCTGCAGTTTCCAGGAGACGTTTGTTGAATCTGTTCCCCTGCTGGGCTCAGCCTGTCAGCTGCACTGTCAGTCCAACACAGACACTAACATGCCCCGAGCAGAAGGAATATTTCAGATAGTGCTCCAGAAGTCTTTTTTTCTGTATTAAGTCAACAACAACAAAATCACATCAACATTTCTTACTGCCTTGTGATTTAAACTAGAGCAAAGAACTTTACCTGCATGTGCAGCACGATTTGTCAGTGGGACAAAGCCCTTCTCCCCTTTTTGAGATGAAATGTTTTCAAGTGAAAACTGTGTTTGTTTTCCTCAGTGTTTTATCTGACTTGAATAGCACGACATAGAGGAAAATCCTTGAGCTGGGGAAAGCCAAGGGCTGCCTCACTGCCTGACAAAGGCTAGTAACTGTCAACTTAAATATCATACAACTTCTGAAGGAGAGGCTTAAAGTCTGAGAAAGGAGGCACGCGTACACACACAGAGGGCACACCAGGTAGTATTTCAGATTCAAAATGGGCAATATGCATACTGTTATACATTTAATATTTTAGGAAAGTATTGGATTATTTAGCTTTACATATAAAATTTTATACTAACAATTAAATTCCAAGTCTCAATTAAAAAGGATTTGATCAAAATCTGTATCGAATAGTTTTTGTTTCAAAGTTTCTTTTTGAGCAGTCAAATGCAAATCATTTTAAATTAAATGGCAAAAAAAGAAAAGAAATGATGCTAATGAGAGCACAGGTGAAAATTCATATCTGCTAACAGACGACACATTATCCAATCCTGAAAGATTTTCTTTGTTTAGTGTAGTATTTCAGCACAGAACACCCAGATGCATCAGTCTCATACTTATTTTATGCTCTGGGCAAACTGAGGTTTGTGAATATTTCAGTGTCCTATTACACTCCAAAGCTGGATTTGTCAGGTTCTCTGAGTCAGACAGTTTCAGGCTCAAACTTTCTGAGTTTCACGCTGCAATTTACCCACTACTCTTCAATGTCCCCGGAGCTCTCAATTCCCTGTCTTCCTCCTGATTCACACCATTTTCTGTCTGGGCCTTGAAGGCAGCAAGAACCCAAGTTTGACAAAGGATGGAAGTGACTAAAGCTTTCTCTCCTCAGTCTCCTCTTCCTCACTCACCTCTTCCACTGTTTTCTGACACATTCTCCTTTTTGATCTTAGCTTCACCCCACTCTTCTGCCCTGGCATCATTTTCTAATTGTCTCATTGTACCTTGCCTTCCCCCTTTATGCTGTCCCCTCTTTGGTTCTTACTTCCACTCAATAGCTCTTGTTCTCTCTTTCTTCATCCATCTCTTGCTCTCAGACTGTCCTTCACGGACAATTTACCAAGAGTGGCATTCATTCACCTTTCAGCTCTTGAGCTTTCAACACAGTTTTTATCCCAAAAATCCCAAAAGTTGAAGAGCTAAAGACAGAGAGCAGAAAGAGAGAGATGACTAGTAAGAGAGAATAAAATTGTAGGTTGAAAACAAATCCCCATCATATTCTGCAGCCTGGACTGCAGACATGGACATTCACAGAAAACACCAGTTACCATAATGTGCACTTCTGACTGAGTTTGAGTTTGTCTGCCTGTGTAAATATTTTTCTCCCATCATATCACACTCTGAGACACAAGTCCGCTCCTGTCATTCAAACTCAGTGTAAAAGACAGACTGAACTAAAAACAAGTTCCCCTGCAGGCATTTTCTTAACAACCAAGAAAGTGCAGGAATTTTTCTGCTGGAAAACATTGTGAAGATTTTCTATATTTCTTTCCAACCACTCTGTAGAAGGAAAAAGTTGTAAAGTTTACGAAAATCTAGTCATTTTTGCAGTATTGTGTAAAGTGAGTTAGCAGGCAGTAGGCCTGGAATTCCCAGTCATTTTAAGTTCACAGAGCTCAACTTCACGTGTTTAGATTGCTTCTTTTGTCAGACCATCAGTCTGAAATATTCATCATCTGTGAATATAAATCAGAAAATCTCCAAATCCCTGCATCTGAGGCGTTGCACCAATTAAATGTTTGGCTCAATAAATTACTTGCACCTAGAATTTATATGAAATATATGAATTTAAATTAAATATGATGGAAAGAAAAAAGAAGTAGTTGGTTTTCCAGTAGTTGAACACACACAGTATTGCCAGCTGAAGCTACGGACTCTTTGCAGCACAGACTTGCATGACTGCATGTCAGGTTCAATCATATGTAAACAATTATGCAAATGTTTCCCGATCTATTTAATGCATCAGCATGTTTTCACTGACAACTGCTTAGCAGGATAACCAATCACAGCGCACGCCAACCTGAGGCTTCAAATAAATATTTATGGAGGTACCTGTGGCCCAGGGAGATCCACATTATACAGACCTGTCAGACGTAGACTTTCCCACTTTGTGTCCTTAAGCCAGCAATCATATAAACCAACGTCTCTGTGATAAGGTATCCCAGGATTTCCACAGTGATTGTACATAACAATAAAGTGAAATGTTGTTTGTATCATAGTTCCTCTGCAAGAAATTGGGATTACTATCATTCTTCTCAGACTATGTTAATAAGCTGCCGTAAATTGTTCCATTTTCCACATACAGCTAAATTTAAGCTGATGTTCGGAGGCTGCAGGCAAAGAGCTGTACAATCAAATGAAACCAAAGGAAGGGAAAGATATAACTAGGTGGGACAAGAGAAGTCGAGACAAGACAGGGTGAGGCATAAGGGGGAGGGGGGGGAAAGGACAGAAGCAGCGATACAGGATGAGGAAAGACAAAGGGAGAGGCATGTTAAGGTCATGCTGAGGTAAGATAGAGGTGAAGTAAACATCCTGTTCTGGTCTTTGTACTGATTTTACACATTAATAATAATATTAATCAACATTATTACTTTGTTAATCACATTGATTTGGTATTATACAGTTTTGGCTAATAACAGCTGTAATGTCTTCAGAATAAATTAGTGTGGATGTGTTAAATATCCTCCCGTGCATGGTCCAGTCGAGCAATAAGAGTTCTCTAACCAAATTGTATTATCACAGCTTTACAGAGTTATCAGGTCATTACCTAATTATGTCCCCACTTGATTACCTTCTCTTATCTTTTCCCCTTCCCCTTCTGTTCTCCTCTTTTGCAGCTGCTGATGTTTAGTGAAATGTATTCTGTTTTGTAGGACAACATCCTCACTCACTTTCTCATAGATAATCAATTACATATACCCGCACAAACCTGCATCAATCATGTGTCGTTGGCCCAGTGAGTTTTGGGGTCATGGTGCTTCTCTCTGACGACTCCTCAAACTTGGCCCTGATGAAATCAGAAAAAACATCATATTTATAACAATGTCCTTGCATAATTAATTGTTGTGGTAGAGCTTGACCGTTGCACTTATTATCGTTGAGACTCAATAGAGGTTTTGGGCCTAAAAACAGAACACAGACTGAGGAAGAAGTTCAGCATTTTAATTGTAGATTTTACATAGAAGTGTTTTGGGGATTTGGACAGAGTAGCTTAGAGAGCAGAATAGGCACCTGTACAGAAAATCAGGCCAAGGAGGTTTGTTGAGGGTGGGAGCAGGTAGCCAGGCCATTGCAGGCAGTATAGAGTGAAACAAGCAGCAGAGGTATTAACTGGAGAGGAGAGGCTTTGGCAAAACAATCATGAGCTTATGGTGACCGGCTAACGAGGCAGCCAGTGGAGATTGACTTGAAGCACAGACAAACGAGCATTGAACTAAGTCCCCCCAAAAATCTGACAAGCAGATACTAAGTTAGAATTGCAAAGGGGGTTGACCAAGACACAGATCAATAGACAATCTTGTGAAGAGTGGAGTGATGATGAGGCCTGCAATGTTGATGATCAGGACCTGCAGTGAAGTAATTCTTTAACCCATGGATCTTTAGGTTAACCTAAATAAATAATGTGTAGCTGCCTTTGCAAAGGTTCACAAGCCACAAGAGAGGAATGAGCATTAACTGTGTTGACAGTCATGTGGATGGAGGTCTGGGTGGTGGATCTAAAGATGGCCAATGAAACTGGCTTTTAGTGTTATGAGAGAGATTGTGTGATACTGATTACATATGGCTACTGATACTGCACTTGCTATGGAGCTCTTCTTTTTAGAGAAGTTCGCGCACGTGCTCAAATCTGCTGGGTGTTTATGTAGATACTTCTGTGTCCACAGCAAAGTTTGTCCAAGACAGACGTTGTCAATGCATCTAGGTTAGAACTTATTTGGTCCTCAAGGAACCCTGTAATGTTTTCATGCCCAGGAACTCCAGTCAATAAGAACACACACCTTCAAAACCAAACATTACCTTCTGTTGCCCTTGACCTACCATTTATTGACAACACTCAGAAGATTTCAGGTATCAGTGCAACAGGTTTGAAATTGATGGCTTGGTTTTCATTAGTCTCCAAAACAACCACTGAGAATTCACTGAACTCTGCAGGTGGATGATCGACCAATCAGCCGAATGTCTGGAGTGGTTTCTGATGGGACTTTCCAACTGTCTATGCAAAGTTGTAAACAGTCTTTGTAGAAGCAAATTGGACTGTTATTAGATATAATGATGTTTTTCTTATACAACAGTACAGACATCACAAACTGAAGTGTTTTTGATTCATGAGGGTTCCATCGAGCTGAGTAATCTTTTTCACTTGAGCTCCATTTAAATGGATAATGTAGCTCCCATGCAAGGTCACAGGTATTTTACTCATTCAAGCAGCATTTACATAATCACCCTACAGACCACTTATTTTTGTAATAATTTACTTTTTATAGTTGTTTCCTGACAGATTCGGATGATATGAGTCTTTCCTCCGGGGATCAGAAATTCTCTAAATCATCCACGAGTCAGAGCAAGAAAAGAAAGAAACGACGACACAGGTAAAAAAACGAAAACAAGTGGAAAGGAAAAATATATTTTTAAAAAGCTATTACAGTCTATTTACTGTATTAGGCCCTAAACTAATACAAGTGCAGGTTGCTTTCGTTTGGGTCATCACTGATGAAACAAAAAAATCCGTGATTCTCGTTCGTTTATAAAATAATACTGTGGAAATATAATCAGCCTAAAACACCTGCATAATACAATCACGATTTCCGTGTGGGCTTTTTTTTTTAAATGTATTTTTTCGTTTGGTTTCTTTTTTGTCTGTCAAGGACTAAATGAGCCTTGTCTAGACAAAGAAGAACAATTAATGTGCACACATTTGTTTTCTCTATTGGGCAACAAAGAAAAAAAATTCTAATTGTCTTTAGTCACAAGTTTGTATCTTTTTTTGTAAAAGAAAAACAATTTTTCTCATTTTAAAAGATCTTGGTCTGATGTAAAATTATCTTTTTTGGGGAAACTTGATTATCATTATTGTATTTGAGACGATTCAGTTGCAGATTACATTTTAAGTGTACAAAACCGATCAGGGTGGAAAGATTAAATTGAAGAGAAATGTTTAAACTGTATTTGAGTGTTGTATTTTTTAAAAACAAATCATATCAATCGTATTTATTCTCATATGCTGCATTTTCTTTTTGTCTGCAGAACCATTTTCACATCCTATCAGCTGGAGGAGCTCGAGAAAGCTTTTAATGAGGCTCACTATCCGGACGTGTACGCCCGCGAGATGCTCTCCATGAAGACCGAGCTGCCAGAGGACAGAATACAGGTGTGTGCTCATGTATGTGCAGGACGTGTATGTCTTAAATTTCATATTATCAAGGGGCAGAAAGACAAAACAAGTGTGATCAGTCAGAAAATGTAGATATTTCCCACAATGTGTGATTCTTAAACATTGCATCAAGGTTAGAATGATCATGCAAAGTGGTTGAGACAGATTTTTGCACACACACAAAAAGCCAGTGTTGAGGCAGACAGACAGTTGGAGCCTGTGCTCATCAGCTCCATCATCATCCTCCCTGCACCTCCTGCTCCCACATTAGCAGCCAATTCACCCTCTCAGTCTAATTAGTTAATTGAGGAGAACTTCTCACCTCTCTTCCCTGCGAGAGGCGGCACCACAGCCCTGAAATGAAATGATAACTACACCGAAATTAATAAGCAGAGGTCAGCGGCTGAGCAGAGGCCTCCGCCCGGCTGCTGCGAGCGTTTTAATTTCCCATGATATTTGAGCGCCTGTCTCCCATCGATCGGGCCTGGAAATTAACTTATTTTTCAATCAGCCTCCTCGCCCCCGGGGTCACCTCTCTCAGGAAGCACTTTACACACTCACACACGCACACACACACACACTCACACTGTGGCTGTCAAAAAGCATGATTGCTCATCTGAGGCCCATCTTTTTATGAGAGGCAGGTTATCATCAGATCTACCTGAATAGCTTTGCCGGCTCGGCTTTGATCGTTTTTAATTCCAGGTCTGAAAAATTCACACCCCCACACACACACACACGCATGCGCTCACACATCACACCGTTCCCTGCAATCTCATCCAGCCTCCTCGGCCATTTTAGGATGCTCATTTTTTTCCTACTGTTTTCCTCATCCATATTCACAAGCTTGCTGAGGCTATTACGAGGTCTGGCATGGTGGAAATCAATTTAGGCACTTGAGGAGCCTGAAGGAGAATAATGCACACACACACATGCACATACTCTAACAGGTCACAAAAGACAATATCATGCAGATGATGCAAGCAATGAGAGGAAAAATAAATAATAGGGCCTATCAAACAAGGAATTTGGCTTGAAAACATAATACTCACATTTTGGGTCAATAGTGGATCTGTAATATTGGATGTATTTGCCAAAACAAACACAAAAACATTATTATGGTGTTGGAAATTAGCTCTTTGACTTATTTTGTTATTTTAAACCTCCAGTAGATGTCATGATTCTACTGAACCACAAAATAAAGGGATCCTGCATGAGTCTCATACAGCAGCAGTGATGGGCAATTTAGATGTTGATGAAGATGTTGATCGGAGTTTAGCAATGAGGAAGAGTAAAGGTAGTTGTAATCAATGACAAAATGAGAAGATGATCCTTCTTCATAGTTTTAAATTAAGTAAAGATCCCGTTCACACATATTAAGACACATCTAGAAAACAGACACATGTGAATTTGCAGAATCTGAAGACCAGGGACAAGATTTTGACGCAGTAATGTTTCCATTTCTAGTTTGATCAATTACATTTGAGCCGGCTTTGGTTGTCTGCAGGTAAACAGTCCGTGTGAGAACAAACATGGATTTTTTGATCTGCATATGCAAAAAGCTGTTAATAGAGATGAGCCCAAAATGCCATCTGGAGCTAAAACACATATACAAAAAGAATTCACTGTTTGTGTTTTGTGTGGAGAGATGTTCGACATGTGTGATAAATAAAGAAGGCTGACTGTAAACCCAGACTATAACTGCCAAAGAGGAGCACACACACACACACTCAGTCTAATCCAGAACCGACCGTCATTTCTCCAGGTGTGGTTCCAGAACCGCAGGGCCAAGTGGAGGAAGAGGGAGAAGTGCTGGGGTCGCAGCAGTGTGATGGCCGAGTATGGCCTGTACGGAGCCATGGTGCGTCACTCCATCCCGCTGCCCGAGTCCATCCTCAAGTCGGCCAAGGACGGCATCACAGAGTCCTACGCCCCGTGGTTACTCGGTAAGCTGCTGCAGAAACTGGTACACGTCAGCTGAGAGATAATCTTAGCTGGAGAGAAATGTTTCATGTTGAGTTGTCACAGTAAGAAAAACAGGCTGATGATGATGATGATGGCCAAATTCCATTTAGTTGCGTCAGTCGTCCATTCTGCACTGTCACGACTTGTGACCTTGACACCTCAATAAAGTTTTTGCGTAATCCTGCTGAAAAACCAACCTACTAGCAAACAAATGGACAGCGGAAGTACAGCTCAAAGGTTAAACCACATGTTTGATGATGAGGTGATGAATCATAAACCACCGTCCTCCATCAGTGGAAATAAACTTTGAGTGCCTTGTCACTTCAAGATGATTGTTAATCTTGTGTAAAAGAGCAGTAAATGTGAAGTGCTAAGTTCACTTGGCATGTGAAGTATTGTTCAAAGTTGCTTCATACTTTGGCTGATACCAGTGAAGTTTTGAGTTTTCTATCCCTTTTGTTACTTTCAGCATCTTGACGAGAACTAAAAGTTTCTTTATCACATTTCGTCTTTGCATTTAACAACCATCTGGGTATTGTATTGGGCCGATGGGGAGCTAAGCCCTGCTCGTGATAGGAGCCAATAAAAGTGTTGGCGTGTCAATAAGAGGCGTCAGTCGATACAGTGATAATCCCACTTCATCAGGACAGATTAGACCAAATCTCCTCCCTCACCTTGTGTCAATTGATTAGTTGAAATCAATTAGGAGACACTAATTGAATAAGATGTCCCCTCCCTCTTTATTCTCCTTTCACACTCTTTTTCAATGTCAAATAGCTGAAAGACAAAATATCACGCTCTCATTTTCCATTTTAAATGTTAAATCTACCGACTAACTCCACGTCTGTATGTGGAACGCATATCTAGTGAACTATTTATCTTTTGTTTAGCACTTGGATCATTCAAACTTTCACTGCAGATAAACCAGGTAGGATGAACGCAGAGTTTACTAGCTTCACTCTGCACCATAGGCTGTTAAAAGAACATTCAAAAAGTGACAGTATGTTACAGAAATGTTTGAAGAGGACTCACTTACGACAAGGAACCCAACATCTAATTCCCATCTCTTCCTCCAGGTATGCACAAGAAGTCAGTCGATACTCCGCACACTTCCCCGGGCAAACCCTGCAGCACGTCCCCCCACGCTCCAATGCAGGAGAACCCGGCGGACAAAGCCATGGAGGTTGAGGAGGAGAAACGGAGGGAGGACTCAGGCTCCCCGATCTCTAGAGAGGAACTGAGGGAGAACAGCATTGCAGCGCTGCGAGCCAAGGCGCAGCAGCACAGCGCCCAGATGCTCGGCACCGTTTCGAACAGGACGAACGGCCACACGATGCACAAAGAGGAAGCCGATGATGAGGCGACAGAGAAGGAAACGGTAGAGGAGGAGAAGAGAAACTGAAAACATGGCTGCAGGGCACAGACTGAGAGAGAAACACCTGCAGAGAGGAGTTTTCTTATGTGATTGAACGGATACTGTACAAAGCTGCAGTTTAATTATTATGATCATGAAAACACACAGAAAAACTTTGCTCATTTGAAAAGAGGATTTGGCTCTGCTCCGCTAAACCACTGTACGAGGAGGTGTCTGCTCCAGTCCACGTGTCCAGGAGCAGGCTGTGATGACAGATTTCAATTAGGGTTAAACGGAAAATTTAAGGCCTGCACTCTTTGTTTTCTTTTGTCTGTGTCAATAATTGTGATGTAAATACTGCAAAAATAACGTCAAATAGTCAAAACTGTACAATTATGTAAATTTAACATCAATTATCTGCGTTTGTCTTTGTATAAATGTAACTGTAGCTCGATTAAAAGTTACTATTTAAAGTTCTCTTTCACAAAAAGTGTTTTTCTTATTGTCACTTCATGTGGATGTTCGGGTTTCACTGTTTAAATATACATGTTTTGTGAACAACTATTCTGATAGTGGTACAAGTTACAAGTGTGATGTGGAAAACTTGGGGCCTCCGTGCTGAGAATAGACATCCGGTATCCAGTTAAAGTTTAAGTTAAAGAGCAGAAGTTTATGTTTAGCGTCACCATTGACTGTAAATAAAGATGGACGACGCCTCTCCCCTTCGTTCCACTATCCAGAAATGAATCTGAAATATACCGGATACGTGAGTCAGTCTCAGCTGTCAATCATGATGTTGCCTCCCGTTTTTATAATTAAAACCAAACTTGTACAATCAGTGTGACAAGAACTACCTAAAATGTGACAATCCGTTCCGACAAAACATAATTTGACTTTGGCTTTTTAGTTTAAAACATGTCCTATCCACTAACATGGAAGAGGCAGGGTTTGTGACCTATCCTTTAAGGATAAGGTGGTGGATGTTTGCTCTTAAGCTTAGTTTATGCTCGCAGTTCCTGTCCTCATGTGTGCAGAGCTTTTACCTGAGAACAGGTTTGTCGACCAACGTCTCTGAGCTCCCTCATTAATGAGGTTCTCAGATGCTCCTGGTGGGGGGGGGGGGGGTTACAGAGACTGCTGCTGTTTGTCGAGGCAAAGGCGTGCACACAAACCTAAAACTGTGCTCCTGAGGAAAATTACTTTCCAGCAGTGATGTTTGTGATTATGTAAAGGAGAAGCCTGTTGACACATGTATTAACCAAAACATCAAGCATAACTGCCACTATATAGCCACTATTATTTATGTGGAGGTTTGGTTTGATAAAGCCCCCCCCTCCCCATTTCCTGGGCCCACAAATTCCCTTGAGACGCTCCTGTCTCGAAATAAGAAACGTCTCAGTTCTTTACTTTCGCTTTTGCAGCTGCGGGTCATTTACGGTCTTTGCTTTACGGGATATAAAAGTGTCGGCACATTGGAGTTTGCACTGCCCTTTAATGCATCACTCCTCCAACCTTCCTCTGCGGAGTTTCCAACTTTTCACTCGAAGTTCAGCAGCGCAACTTCCCAAATTTACTCCAACGCCGTGTTGCGCAAACACAAACTTTTGCAGAACGTCCAGGTCGCACTGTCGCCTCGGTCACAATGTGGCTGCGCTGTGGACGCACGTCAAACTATTTTACTTTCTTCAGGTGCCGGGTCTTCGGGTCCTGTTCGGATGTTTTGGGTCGGAGGGGATGTAACACGGCGGCGTTCATGCCGGAGGCTGCGGGCTTCGAGGGGGTGTCGAGCCGCTCGGCGCTGCAGGAGTTCTCGGTCTCCGGCAGCAGCAGCTTCTGGGCCGCGGTGGCTCGTCACAGGCTCAGCTGGATCAGTCCTTTCACCACGGTTCAGGACTGCGACCTGAGCCGAGGCAGGATCAAGTGGTTTGAGGGAGGAAAGCTCAACGTGTCCGGTGAGATGTCGTTTCATTATAATAAGGTTAAATAGAAAATTGCATTTTGTTTGTGGTGATCAGAGGCGGCCGTGCGTGATTTTATTTCCCCATCGACTCACAATGTTAAAGGTATCATCATGTGAAACCAGGTGTAGTGAAGCTTTACTCATCTCCACAGCAGCGTGGTGCGTTCACGGTACAGTGTCCTGGGCTATGGTCCTGGGTCAGATGTGATGTAAAGATGGCGAGAAATGTTTTAATCTTAACCAAAGAATACTGCACTTGAACGCATCATGCTACTGTGGAGATGAGTGAAGCAGAAAGATAGATATCTGGACAGATAGATTAATAGATGGATAGATATATGGATAGATAGATAGATAGATTAATAGATGGATGGATAGATAGATAGATTAATAGATAGATGGATAGATAGATAGATTAATAGATGGATGAATAGATAGATAGATACAGACAGACATTATTGATTCCATTCCTGTGTTATACAGTAAGATATCAGGCTCAATGTCACATTTTCTCTCTGTGTGTGTGTGTGTGTGTAAAACTGTGTGTGTGTTTTTATGTGCACATGCAGTAAACTGTTTGGACCGCCACGTGCACACCTGTCCTGACAGGGTGGCACTGATCTGGGAGAGAGATGAGCCGGGGTCAGAGGTCAGGGTCACCTACAGGTCAGCAGCTTGGTGTTTGTGTGTGTGTGTGTGTGTGTGTGTGTGTGTGTGTGTGTGTGTGTGTGTGTGTGTGTGAAGATTCTTTGTCCATTTGCCTCAGTGTAATTCATTGATATCTCTCTCCAGGCAGCTCCTGGAGATGACATGTCGTGTGGGCAACCTGTTGAGGCGGCATGGCGTGAAGAGGGGGGACTGCGTCACCATCTACATGCCTTCCTGCCCTCTGGCTGTGGCGTCCATGTTGGCCTGCGCCCGCATCGGTGCGGCCCACAACGTTGTGTTTGCTGGGTTTAGCGCGGAGGCCCTCTCAGAGCGGATCAGAGACGGTGAGACGCAGAGACGGACCTGCTGATGTCACAGGCTGTTAATAGATTTCCGCTGTACATGTTAAAGCTGCACTATAATCAATAGTTTTAATTTCCAAATGGATAAAATGATTGTTTTTTTGAATGTGGTCAGTTCTAGGGGAGAACTAGAGGGGCAAGGCTAATGGCTTATATTGCAACGTTACAGAAAAGTAAAATAAAAATCCTGGATCCGAGATGTTTTTACTTCTTGAGTTGATTCCAACACAGACCTCAGAGTTCGATTTTCATGTGCATCACGTTTTCAGCTCAGTCCAGCGTCATCATCACGGTGAACCAGGGCGTCAGAGGGGGTAAGGTCACGGAGCTGAAGAGGACGGTGGATGAGGCGGTCCAGAGCTGCCCGGCTGTGCAGCAGGTGTTTGTTGCTATGAGAACAGAGACTCCGGTTGTCATGACAGCCAGGGACATTGCCATGGAGGAGGTGAGAGATCAGAAATCCAATCTCTTGCGGATGCTAATGCAAACAGTAGTCACTTTTACAAGGATAAAAAAGTTTGGATGTTTGATGAATCTGTTCCCTTGTTGTTGGTTAAATTTGCGTTGATTGCCAAATTTTATTTAATTAATCTACTTATATTTCTGAAATTTGGCTCTTGATGTTGGAAATAGCAGGTGACAGTCCATTAGCAGCTGTTGTGGAGCTTTCAGTCGTATCACATGATCTTCCTCAGCCTGAGAAAAATTTGAAGATCTACAGTTCCATAAGATATTTTGTCTGCTTCAATCCTTGAATTCACTTTGTCATGCAGGAAATGCAGAAGGAGGACGTGGTGTGTGAGCCGGCAGCCATGGACAGTGAAGACATTTTGTTTCTGCTTTACACATCTGGCAGCACGGGGAAGCCCAAAGGCCTGGTCCACACTCAGGCCGGGTATCTGCTGTACGCCGCACTCACCCACAGGGTAACGTTGCCCTAGTTTTAACATTGTGTATTAGTGCAATAATATCTACTTACCTGTGAAGTTTGAATTGGTTATTTAGCTTTTATAACAGCGATATAAATACTATATCTTAATCTCTGAACAATGACCTGGAGCGTTTTGTTTTCAAAAAAGTTTCATCTCATCTGTCGTCCCTCTTGTTCCCAGTACGTGTTCGACTACCATGATGGAGACGTGTTTGGCTGTGTGGCAGACATCGGCTGGATAACAGGACACAGTTACAGCGTCTACGGCCCGCTCGCCAATGGGGCAACCACTGTTCTGTTTGAGAGCACTCCCATTTACCCTGACCCAGGTATGAACACCAGCGAATGGTACCAACCGGTATGAACGTATCAGACTGCTGTTAGAAAAAAGAAAGAAAATTAATAAAATAAAATATCTAAA